TGGCTCAATTGTTTTCTTGAATAGTCCCGGCTCCATTATGGCATCCCAAGCCTCAGCCGGTACCCTTGGAAGGGCGTACTTTTTTCCCAGAAGAACCGGGTTCTTGTTGTAACTGCGCATTCGGTGATTAGCAGCCGTAGATGGGAAAGAGACTTAGTAGAACTTGCTCTTCCAGCTGGTCCACTTGGAGGGCTTCTCCAAGGTCATCATATATTCCGGGTGCGTTGTTAGTGTGTACCATGCATTCCAGCCACCCGGTGCCCTGCTTAAATAGTGCATGTGGGCAAACGCCTCCCAGCTAGGCGTCACCTCCTGCATTTCGCAGATGGCTATGTACCCTAAAATACTGACCCAAGAGTTGGGTGTAAGCTGCCAAACGCCCAAGTCATAGCCCCTTAAGATGGCTTTGATGCATCTGTGCAGGGGGAACCGGAGGCCGGCTTTGAACGCCGCCTCATAGCAGCCGAAGTAGTTATTGGCATGCTTAAGGTCGTCCTCCCAGACTACTAAGGCATCAACCGGTGGAACGCCAACCTCCCAGTCCTCCCCAACCGGTCGTTTTTTCAAAAATGCCGGGAGAGTTGCATTTAAAGTCACTACATCTCGGGCGCTCATGTGCGCCTCCATTGGATTGTTTATTGAAGGCCAGTTGTATGCCTCCTCATTCTCTTCAGGGCCATCCGGTGTCATGGTAGACTCCGTTGATCCGGACTCCTGATCGGTTTTCTGCCGCTTGAGTCTTTGGACTCTTCCAGAATCTCATCACCAGGCGTACTTGGAACGCCTGGTTGATCAAAGGTAACCTCCTCAACCGGAGTTCCGGCTGAATTGTCTGACTTGTACTCGGGGTCAATAGCCGTTTTCCTTGTCTGAGCCATTCTGTCCTGCACAAGAGCAGAGACGGTCGGATTCGCAGAAAAGTAAGGGTGTTCCACACACCCCCAAACGGCATCCCCAGTCCTAGATTCAGCCGTATCCGGTGACCGGTTGACAACTGCCCTAGGTCGTGCCGTGTGTGTATTGGGAGAGTCCATTATTCTCTAACCAATACAACTGGTAAACTCAAGAGGTTACAAAGGGGCAAAAGTGATACCTTGACTTTATGAGTACGGTTGAAGAAGGCTTGAGTGCTGAGAATTCCAAAGTGTGACCTGAAGATGCCACAGGCGGAGAAGTCCGTTTGAGTTTTGAAGAACCTGAAACACAAATACAAGCAGTCAGGCATTGTGCAAGAAACTCATACAAAGATACCCCAAGCGGTGTCAAAAGATCTTGCCCAAAGATACCCCAAGCGGTATCAAAAGATCTTGACCAAAGGTATTCCAGACGGCATCTAGAAAGCTTGCCCAAAAGTACCCCAGACGGCATGTAAGACGCTTGAGGTTCTAATATGCCAGGGTTGCAGAGCATCGTTCAAAAGCCCCACAGGCAGGATCAATGAAGACTGCTTAAAAGCCCCCCAGGCGGCAGTAATACCGGCTGAGGGCCTTATGAATGCAAACAACTACGAAAATAACTCCGAAACACCCCAGGCGGATTAAATCCGGATGAAGGTATCATGAATCCAAGACTCTAAGTCCAAGGATCTGTTGTTTGAAGATACCCCAGGAGGCACCTAGCCGTCTGAGGGTCTAAGTTTAAAGATCTGTTGTTTGAAGATACCCCAGGCGGCACCTAGCCGTCTGAGGGTCTAAGTTTAAAGATCTGTTGTTGGAAGATACCCCAGGCGGCACCTAGCCGTCTGAGGGTCTAAGTTTAAAGATCTTTTGTTTGAAGATACCCCAGGTGGCACCTAGCCGTCTGAGGGTCTATGAGACGCAAGTTCATGAAGCAATTGTTCAAAAATGACCCAGGCGGAATATTACCGGCTGGGGGTCTACTACATGCAAAGCATTAGACAGTTATTCGAAAATAACCCAGACGGCATGTAACCATCTGGGGGTCCTTTGAATGCTATTCTTTGAAAAAGATTGAATAGAGAGGCCACAGGAGGTATATTACCGTCTGTGGGTCTATGAGATGCATAAAGTTAAAAGCCCCTTGTTTGAAGAAACCCCAAACGGCCCGTAGCCGCCTGGGGATCTAAACTTGGAAGCTATGGTTTGAAGGTACCCCAGACGGTCCAAACCGTCTGTGGGTCTACCAAATGCAAAAGATGAGGGAAAGGCCTTAAGGTGCCCAGACGGTATAAGACCGTCTATAGTTCTACGCAAATCAAGAATAAATCAAGAAGCAGCCGGTACCTGGGTTAGCTGAATGACGAAGTACTCAATCGGTATCCGAGTGTGTCTAATCAAGAAAGCTGAGTGCAATAAAGCAGCCGGTATCAGAGCTCTTTTAAGGATTTTTTGAAAAGAGTAAAGTGAAGAGGAGAGAGGGGTATGGATTTATTTATAGAGATGCCCAGAAGGCGAATCGTCACCTTATGCTTAACCTTTTCAAAATTCAAAACCAAGAGAGAGAGAGGCGGGAAGCAACCCAAGCGTCGCCTCCCCTGTGTTTGACACCTGTCACAGGTGACACGTGGCTACGCCACGTCACACTTGTGAGGGGAAAATGTTTGGGGTAAAAATACCCCTGGCCACGTGGCCCAATAATGTCAAGACACGTGGTGGCCCACCAGAGGCCCAGCGGAATCCAATCGGATGCTGACATGTGGCATCAAAACCCTAATCAGGGGACATGCCTCCCCCACTATAAATAGGGGAAAAATCCTCATTTATGACCCATTCATAAATACCCACACAAAAATCAGAGCAATATTAATTGCAGAATCTCCCGGAATCCAAGAGAAAAGACCATTTACTTTCCGCACATAATCTCATCCGGAATCTGACTTGATCTTCGGAGGCGGAACTCCACCCAACCGGAGTTTCGTGGTTTTGCAGGTACAGAGGTCAGGCGTACATTCTCGGTGCTGTAACTCTCCCGCAGGACACATCAAAAAACCCCGAAACAATTTTTACTGCCCCTGACATTTTTAAACCCACCACAAAGTTCTTTCATGATCCTATAAGACATAACAACCCTTGTATTTAACTTTGAATTGTCAAAAATAAACTTCTTATGAGCAAAATTTAAACCAACTCTCTTCATAGTCTTTTTCCTTAAACATGCACCTTCAACTCGTTTACCAGCTTTCTTGTTATTTGTCACATACCCTTCTTTGCTACATAAAATATTTAATTACAATAACTCCTTTACCATTACTAGAACCAACCTTATTCTTATCTACTTTAGTAGTACTAGAACGGACTTTAAATCCACACTCATTAGCATATTTGTAATAAAAGGCAATACCATCTCCAAGACTATCAAATTATATTCCAAGAATAGGTTTGTTTTCCAAAGAACAACATGGGATATACTCTTTATCATCACTAGAATTATAATATATCCTAGGCAGCACAAGCTGAGTGGATTTTGAAAATTCTTACATTCATATCTTCATTAGCGATAGCATACACTTTCAGTCATCTTCCTGAAAAGTAAATAAATCAAAGAAAAAAGTAAATAAACAATAACAAAAAGTAAACAATTGAAAAAAAGTATATTAATAAAAACTATTAGAGGTATATTAAAAAGTAAATGACTCAAAGCAAAAAGTAAATAAAAAAGCTCAAAAAATAAAACAAACAAAATAAAAAAGCAGTTATAAGGATTAAGCAAAAGTAAAAGTGAAAAGTAAATGACTCAATAAAAAAAGTAAATGACACAAGGCAAAAGGTAAATATAAAACCACAAAGAGTGAAAAAAAAAGAATTGAATAAAGCAATAACACTAAAACGAATGTTTCTTCAGAACATTGAACAAAGTAAATGGGGCAATATTTCTTCAAAACCTTAACCAAAGAGGAAATAACTCAAATAACAGTAAATCATAAAATAACAATCGTAAGAACCCTAAATCATACAATTAGATTAAAAATTATAAAAAAAAAACCCAAATATTAATACAAAACCCTTAAATGTAATAAGTAATTCGAAAAACACCCAAATCGAAATATATGAACCCTAAATCGTAATAAGTAATTCAAGAAACACAAAATCATAATAAAAGAACAATAAATAAATAAGAAATAAACTGAAAAATTCAAACAAGAAACAACAACAACAAATCAAAAATAAAAAATCAAATGAGAAAACAAAAATTGCAAATCGAACAAAATTCATAGCAAATCGATAAAAAATTTCAAAAAATCACAAAAAAGTATAACAAATCGAAACGAATTACCTCAGAACAATGAAGAAAATCGAAGAATCAGAGAAAAAACTTGATGAGCGAAGAACAGATTCGCGAATTTGAGGGAGTAGAGAGAGATTTGCGGGTAGAGAGAGAAAGTGCAAGAGAGGAGAGAGAACGAAAAGAATCTGCGGAAAGAATAGAAGGAAGGTCATTCAACGCGGAAAATACCAAAATGCCATTAATGAGGCGGGTGAAATGTGAGCCGCTAGATGCAACTTGATGAACGGTTGAGATTAGTTCCTAGTTCCTATTATTCACCTTGGTTCTCACCTGATCTCAATTCTATATATATATTGGTCATTTTAAGATTTTTTGCTCATATATTATTATTTTTTTACACTTTCTCTACTCATGAAATTGCATAATAGTCTATCAATTCAAAATTATTGCATCTAAAATAACGGAGGAAATTCGCATAAGAGTTTATCAATTCAAAAATAATGCACCTAAAAATAATAGAGAAAGTATAAATTGTATACGGATTAAGCCATCGTTCACTTCACCTTATTTTTGCTAAACTGCAATTATTTGACTAAACTGAAATTATTTTTGCTGAACTTAAATTATTTTTATTGAACTGAAATTAATTTACTAAACTGAAATTATTTTTGATGAACTTATATTATTTTTATTAATTCTCTATTATATTTTTTTAAAGTTACTGATTTTTACAGAATTTAAATTATTTTTATTAAAATGAAATTATTTTTATTAAACTGAAATTATTTATTTTAAGGTGAGTGAAGAAGGTTAACGCTTAACAAAACAGAAGCCGGAGGACCGGAGGAGGGAGTACTACTGAATTTTTTAACCACATTGAACCCCCATCTCTTTCTAACTCTCCTACTGCGTACTCTGAAATCCTCATTCAACTATTCAAGCGGCTCCTGAGCTTTCTCTCCATTGTAACGGCTTCCAAGGTAATATTTTCTTATCAATTCTTTTCATTTTTAATCATTGAATATCAATTTCACAATCTAGGGTTTGTTTCAAACTTTCGTTAATAGTTATAATAATCAGTTTAGGGCTATTTCTAATGTGGATTATTGAGCTATTGATGATAATTACCGAATATGTGATTGATTATAGTTACCGAATATGTGATTGATTATAACAAGCAATTTTGTTGGTAGAATTTTTCTGTGTGCATTTATTGTGATATTCTTAAGCGACAAGAATTTGTGCATTTTCTCAACTTGATATGATAATTGAGTCAAAATTGGATGATTATGTGTTCCAGGCTTTTGTTTATAATCCTTTAATGTTAGGACAAAACTATGAAAACCCACCTTTTCTACCTAGAAAACCGATTAGGAGCAGGCTTGGCGATAAACCGAAACTTGAATTGATTAGACACAATGCATTCCAAGTATATTTGGATTATTAAGAAAGAAAATTAGATTAAATGTGCCAATTTCCTTTTGAGTTTTATGGTACAATCTTAGACTATTTAATTGGTCTTTTGGAGCTCCCCATTGAACAAATTAAGCAAAAAATAGCTTTAGTTGCCAATTTATCATACAACCAACTTTAGAGGAAGGGCATGATCAAATTGTTTTCCTAGTTTTCTATGTATGATTGGTTTGTAGATTTTATTTCATAATGAAACACTTATATAATATCATATTGTCACTTTGATTTATTTAGTTTTAAATGTGTCTTTGTCACTTGAAGGTAAATTTGAACTTGTTTAAAAAATTTCGGAATGGAATTTTACTCGTATTATACTAATTAGGAATGTGGATAGTGGATTGTTTTAGTTTAAATCCATGTTAGCTTCACTCCCCTAGAGCTCGTTAGTCAATCAGATGATAAGGCGGTCTTATTATAAGTTATGTAATTATTTAATGTGAATTCATTACATTTTACCATAGGTTGAACATTCGGATTCAAATGTGTATGTTGAGACTTGAGAGTATGTTTTTTTTTTTTTTTTTTTTTTTTTTTATTATTATTTTTTTTTTTTTCTAATGAATTTCAAATGATACAATAGATGCCTAGCTGAGCTATCTAATAAATTTAGGCCTTGAAATTAGTCAGGCAAACACATTGGAAAAGAGATAAAAGAGGGAAAGCCTTTTTATGGTTTGTACTTTAGAAAACCTTCATACTTGGATCTTCTATGATTCCCTTTGACTTTAGCTGGTTGGCTTAGATATTATTTTAAGATGTATATCTTTGTGATTGAAAAAATGCATTTGTCATATGTTCTATCAAGAGTAAAATATTACTAAAAAGGATCGACTTACTGATGGTAAGCTATAGTATTATTTATTATATTTCTCTTTTCTAAAAGTTGTTTCTCATAACTTTTCCAAGGCACATCTTTGAGCATTACCTCTAATACTAATACTCCAAATTAAGACGAATCAAATAAGCCCTCATAAGTATGATTGTTGTATATATCTTTTAGTACTCATGTTTAAAAGATTGAGCTATTTTAAAAAGACATTTCATTGAAAAGATAATTTAAATAATGAATAATCATGCCCTTTTAAAACATTAGGACTTCAGCCTAGGGTCCTTTTCCTTTTTTTTTTTTTGCCTTTTTGATAATAATATTCAGTATAAATGAATTTTAATAAGTAAAAAATCAATGTGGAGGCATGGAGCTGCAAAAATAAGTGTTATTCAATTTTAAATGGTAATAATAAGTAAATTTACATAATAAAATATATGGGTGAATCATTATAAACCACTATATATCTCTTAAAAATAGTTGCAATTAGAAAATGGTTTCTATTAGGTAGAAATAAGGTGAAGAGAAGATGTTAAGTCTTTCCCCTAACCTTTTAAATGTATTTAACTCCCTTCGTTTTCGAAATCAAACTCGCTTATTGAACTCTTGCTTGTAGAAAAGTTAATTAAAAATGGGTAGTTGTAAGAAAAAGTTGGATCAAACAAGAAAGGTTGAGTGAAAGGTGGGTGTGTAAGAAAAACTTGTATTAAGAGAGAGTGAGTCGAAATGTGTAAATATTTTGAAGTAAAAAGTTAATTTAGTAACCCAAAATAGAATTAAGTAAGAGGGAGTTGAACTTTTTGAAACACCCAAAAAGATAGTGTGTAGAACTTTTGGAAATGATGGGAGTATTAAATATGAAAATGGTGCCCTAAATCAAATTAAGCAACCCTTTTATGCTTAATGGGATTGGAAAATTTCCAGCAGACTTTCACTTACTTTCGAAATGCTTGTCAAACATTTGATTCTTGGACTTGTTTACTCATGTTGGACATGAGTGCAACAACTCCAAGTGTAAGACTTTTGGCTATTTTATAACAATTTCATTTCTGGTTTGAAATGCACTCAATGCAGTGTCAACCGTTCATACCCATGTTAGATTTTATTAATATGACATGGATACTTGAGATGAGTGAAGAGTTGGATTCACATAGCAGTCAATACTTGAAAATGTTATTGAACCTTTGTTAGTCCTGCCCCAAAAACATTTGAACTGAAGAAAGAAATAATGGTGACAAGTGTTTGGGTGTCATTGTCACTCAATATCTTATCAACCCATTCTTAATTTGTGCCTTCATGAGAATCATGACTATATATGCCTACAAAGCATGTTCGTCATAACCATAAGTTTTTTGGATGTGCACACATATTTTTGCCCGAATAATATGAATATCCAGATTAAACTATAAATTGTTGAAAATCTAATTGACTAAGGTGACGCATCCCTTTAGACAGAATATGAATATTGGTCTTGTTGGATAAAACCTTTGATCCAATCCATTGAGCAATGTGTGATAGACACAATAATTTTTTATTTTTTTTCACTTCGATTCCAAAGCGTCTACGGCATTGGTATTGTATCAATGCACTTCTGTTGGGTTTGCACTTATGTTTCAAACAAATCTTTGTTCTGTCTCACCAAATTAAAGCACTCTTTGATCCTTGTCTTATTTCTTCTTCCTTAGTATATACGCAATATTAAAGAGTGCACCAAAGCATATCATAATCATTCTTGTGAGATCATCATAACATGTAACATGCATAAGACTGAGAATGAGGGAATGATGAAAAGATTATTGAGAAGAATATGTACAATTATGATGTCTGGATTTCCACTTTTGTGCATAAGATTGGATTGTGAGGCTCACTGTATTCCAGTTGTATTAATGGATAAGACATCATTGGTGATCATAATACCAAACAGTAGTTAGAATTGACTGATGATTTGATTGTGTATTGTTGTAAGTCTGTAACTGTTGATGTTGGTGAATTTCTTAATCTGTGATTGTAATATGATGAGTTTTATCGGATTTTAATACAGTTGGTGCTCAGTAAATTAAACTTGGGGCGTTTCTATTCTTTAATACGTGTGCTTTAGCTGCTATTACAACCTTTGTTCCCAAACTTGAAGATGAAAATTCCTAATGCCAAGTACCATATGTATGGTAAGCTAGCCATGATCTTATTGTCCAACATAGTGGTAGACTTTCATAATAGCAAAGTACAGGGAGGTAGCTAGCATTCAAGCGTCTTAAGGTATTTCCAGTTGTGCCGGGAACAGTAGTTTTTAGTTGCTTCATATCATATGTTCTAAAAAGAAAAAGAAAAAAAAAAAAAAAAAAAAGGTTATGTAGGGCCTTGGTTTTGGACCGGACATCCTTTGTATCTTATCCATGTCACACAACAGTAGGTGATATAGACTTCCATTGGTATTTTAGGTTGTTCAACTCTGTCAGCTCTATGAACTTTTATCTGATCAGCAGAAATGTTATGAGTGCTTTTGCTGGGTAGTTGTGTTTGTGATTTACAGAGTAATATTTACGAGTTATTCAGGTTGTTTCTTTCTTTTTTCTGCTCCTCAACAATGCATTAATTTGAATCATGCGATAAAAATTTCGCCCAATATGCTGTTTATTAAGCAATCTCATACTCTGTATTTTAGTTCAGCTTGACAGTTTAGCAGCTGTAGCCATTTTTTCTAATGCTATTTTCTGTGTATTTTCTCATTCAGGTATCTAAATTCTAACAAAAGTTTCATGGAACCTTCATATGTCCGAGCCACAATTCGTCTTGGATCTGAGAATTATACAGTCAGTGGAAGCTCAGGCCGTCTCTCAGAACAGTTGGTTTCAATGAAAGAAGAAAGCATGACCATATTAAAGGAATACATCACCAAAACTAATGCTCCAGCTGATGTTCCTGATGAACCACTTGAAGGCTCTTCAGGAGATGAAGATGAAATTTCAAAGAAGCCGAAATCAAAGAAGCGAAAATAATGTACTGTTGGCTAGTAACAAACATTCTTGGAAAATGTTGAAACTGAATAACCAATTTTTGATTGTAGAAGTTTTAGAGAATATGTACTTAAGTACAAATTTGAGAATTATAGAGATTGGCATAAATTCCCCTCGCAAGAAAGAAGTTATGTTTGTGTTCTCGCATTTAGTCTTGAGAGTAGCGTCTCCTAACTTTGGTTATTGTTCTCGCACTATATGACTTCATGAGACTATAGCTTAGGTTTATATTCATTCATAAATTTCCTTATATACGAAGTATATCCTTTATTGTTCTCATTCTAATTTTCTACTTTAATTAGTGTTCAATATAAATTATTATGGCATTTAAATATGTAGGCAGTTTACAATCTTTACGAGTACATTGTTTGGGGTAGTCGAATATTTCACGTTTTGTATACACTAGGTGTAAATCCTCTTGCATACACCAAGTATATATATACACCCCATATAACAAACGTTTCTCTTGTGAAATTGACTTAATGTAATTTCAACTAATTTATATGTTTTGAGGTGACATTTAGAATATAGAATTGATTAAATATTCCTTATATACATATTTTTGTGGTAAACCAAATATATATAGATAACTTTCAAAATTACAAGGTACCTCCAACCCTCTATTTCTTAAAATCCTTATAATCATGAATGTCTAATAAAAAAGGTCAATACAGCAATAACATCCACAAACGAAGGGAGTACAAGTTTAACCAGAGCATGCTAAAGTGTTGATAATAGAATAACTTGCATTTCGTATATATATATGAAGTGTTTACCACAAAATGGGACCTCATATATATAGTAAGGTAACTCAACAAGATAATACATTTATAATACATTAATTTGTATATATCCCTTCATCTATACCCAAGTAGAGTATAAAAGGACACATTTAAACTGCATTTCACTCAATTATAATAGCAATACTAATGATATATAGGCCTTTAATAAGCTATAAGCTAATAATAGCCAAATAGCTCAAGCCAACTATAATACAAGATCATGATCTACTAATAGTACACTTAATTGAGAGGATATAAATAAATTTAGCACTTGGGGAAAGGTGTACCACATGACCTAGCAACCTTCCATGCATTAGGAGTATTAACAAACTTTTTAAGGTAAGGATTTTTCATGTATTGGCAAAGGCATGGTTTTTGCTCTTTGATCTTGCTGCAACAAACTGCTGTTGGTGGGCTTGCTGAAGTGATCGCGTTCACGCAAGGGCTAAGCTGTGCAGGGCTACAACTCACTGCGTTGGCTACCTCAACTGTGTTAGCCAACACCAGCACTAGCACTGCACAAATAGCCATGTTAATGAAGGATGGCTTCATTTTTCACTAGGAGAATAGGGACTTTCTACTAAGTAATGTTAATTTTGTGCTTTATTGGTTGTGTTGGGTGACTTCTGAAATATGGATTTCACATCTATTTATAGATGTAAAAAGTTGCTGCTTTGATTGTTGTGAAGTACTATGTGGAATAGTTATTATGTACTAGGGGATTTACTAGATTTACCTTTTTTTGGGTGCTCATGTCCTAGAGTAATTATGGGTAGTTAACCCTTGAGCTTGCAATAATTAGCTGGCCAAATCGTACACTATGCTTATAGGTTAAACTCAAACTTTAGAGCAAGATTGCTATGACATACAAATAACACAATATACCACTATAAGATCTCTTCCTATAGTGGCATTAGTATCAAGGTTTACCGGTAGTAGGGGTCCCTCTACCACTGTAAAAGGAGTTCGAATTTTACCTAGTATGTGTAATTCTCAATATCCACCTACTTGTAGCGGACTATTCTTACCCTGTTACCTAAATAAAATAAAAGGTCGTAATGACATTCATAGTCTCATTTTTCTTAATCCCACAAGAAAATTGTCTCATACTCCCCCCGTGTTTTAATAAGTGTTAACACTTATTAAATTCGGCCGTGTTTAAATAAGTGTGACACTTCCTTTTTTGGCAAAAAAATACATTTTAATATTATATCCCTCTCCTCTCATGGTCCTCACCTAAACGCACTATGGAGTACTACTTTTCATTTTTTTTTTATTATTTCTCCTCTCATATTATTTACTTTTCAATAAACTATTAACCCACTTACCTCTTATTTTATTTAAGTCAATAAATTGCCTAATACTATGTGTCAGTCAAAGTATAACACTTATTAAAACACGGAGGAATTCTACAAATGCAATATATTTAAAATCATTTTTAAAAAGTCATATTATTATTCATTAATGATGTTTTCAAGGCATAACTTTTCATAGCAACATAACAGTGTCACTACCCCAAGTGATGTCCTAAAAAATGCAATTAAATGACCGAACTAGTAAGACAATGGCCCTCTTGGTAGCCCATAATTAGTGGCGGTAATAGAAATGAAATTGAGTGTAATTTGGCAAGGAAAATAACAATAAAATTGTCTTTAGGAATGTCATCTCATATTCTCATACCCAAACTTATGAATTTTTTTATGAAATTGCATTCCTAACCAATACCAAATTCCAAATGGTAACGGATGGTTTTTTTTTTTTGACAGAAGGTAATGGATTTAATGGAGTAGAAAATGAATTACCTAAAAAGAATAAGCATTACCATGGGGTTTAATCATTTATTCGGTGATTTTACTAGTTACCAAGTGTATGCCAAATCTTTCACAGTTTATTAAAGATGTCAAAAAATAACCCATATCAACTTGAGAATTAGATTTTAAACATGTGATTGTTTTATTAAGTATAAGAAATTACTCATATTAGGTTCTTAAAACAAAGAGATCTATCAATTGATCAACCTCAATTTAACTCATGATCATTAATTCAAGATTTGAATCCATTATTTGCCAATCCGATATGGATTTAATTACTTTAAATTGTTTCAAATTATTCAAATCTATACACATGGCAATAACAGCTCAAATACAATTATTACAATGAACCTAACTTGCTAAAATATGAATGTGTTTGAATCGCAATGTTCTTTGCTTCTTTGTTGCCCACTAAAAAAAGCACAATAAATTAAAGGAAAAATTCATGGGAATAATCCCACCTTTGCGTCGTCGTTTTTAATAATCCCACCTTTGGATTATATTTTAATAATCCGACCTTTACCCCCAATTCGTTTTTAACAGGTTACATGACACGTGGCGGCCTGTGATTGGTCAAAAAAAATTTTTAAAAAAAAAAACAAAAAAAAAAAACAAGAACAAACCCACTGCCTAACCCACCAGCCCCCTCCCCTCCCCCACCGGCGCAGCCTAACCGCCACCCTCGGCCACCCAGCCCTCTACCCAGCACCGGATCCGGCCACTCAGGCCAGCCCCCAACCCATAATCAAACCCCCGTCCCCTAAAACGCCACCCGTAACAACCATTAACCAAAACCCCACCCTCGAAATCGTCCCCTTTCCCTCCCTCATCCCCGAAACCACCCTTATCCTACACCCTAGCTACCGAAACCACCTCGCCTCCTTCCCCCCATCGTCGAAAGCACCCAAAACCCAAACCTTCATATGCTGGAAAACGGAAATTAAAATGGGGGAAGGTGGTGCCAGGGGTCGGATTTGTGGGGGAAGGGAAGGAGGTCGAATTTGTGGGGTTGGATCGAAGACGGTGGTTCGAGGGGGGGGGGGGGGAGGATTGTCGGCTGGGGAAGTGGGTGGTTCAGCGTTAATGGCTGCGTGAAGGGGAGGAGGAGAGGGAATGGTGGCAGGGGTGGTTCTGTTTTTTTTTTTTTTTATTTCTTTTTTTTTGTAAAAATTATCAAAATTTAAAAATATTAAAAAAAATTGTTTTTCTTTTTATAATTTTGTTTTTTAATTTAAAATTTTAGACAAATTGCATAGTGACACATGTATCTAAAACCTAAAAAAAAAAATTGACCGGTTTAACCGGTTTCTGGTCAAATGGGACCATTAAAAAAGAATTGGGGGTAAAGGTCGGATTATTAAAAAATAATCCAAAGGTGAGATTATTAAAAACGAACGACGCAAAGGTGGGATTATTCCCATGAATTTTTCCTAAATTAAAATGTAAGTTAAAATAGAAAACTTTTAACTGTCCATTTAATATTCGTGAATAATTGAAGATCAGTATTGGGAAAGATTTTTTGTTGTAAATATGTAAGAAAAGCTACATACACTAGGTAACTAGTGAAATCACCGAATAAATTATGGAACCCCTCACGAGTCACGAGTCATTAAATCATAGTACGAGTGTTTGAATGTCGCAATAAATCAAAGATAGAGCTGATGATTATTGCGACGATTTTGTCTATTAGCAATAATTAATTCGGTGCAAAGTGATTCTTTACATTGATTAATCTTGCTTTGTTGCCTCTTTTTTCGAATTGCTTTTACTTGCCTCTACTTTTACATTAAGCACGCTTAAGACCCATCAATCCGCATTTCGCCTTTGTCTTATGTATTCCCTTTGTCCCACTAAATTTTATTCTTATTCTCTCTATGGCTCTATTTCTAATTTATTTGTCTCATTGCAAATATTAGATTATATTTTATCTCGTTAGAATATAAGGGATAATTTAGTCATGTGAGATTTTTTTTTTCCGCTAGAATGCAAGGGAATATTTAATTAGTCGCGTGAGATCTTTTTAAGTTTGCCTCATTGTATAATATTTTATTCTCAAGGTTTTATTATTTTTACACTTATGATAATGGAGATATAGGCATCTTAAGATGCGTCTTGCATACTGTGAAAAATCAGATAGGGCAAACAATTAGGGAAGGAGGGAGTACTCATTTGTTTAGTTAGTTGAAGTTGGGTGTATCCACTCCAATGCAAGGGTTATTGTATTGTATGTACAAAATACTCTCTCTATTTGATCATAATCGCAACACTATCATTTTAGCAAAATAACAAAGCATTAATAACAAAAAAAAAAAAAAAAAAGAAAAAAACAATAACACCACATTAAATAACATTATATTTTAGCTAAATAACATAAATTTCAATCCAAAATAACAAAATGACTAATATAAAACATAACAAAATTTAAAAGCAAAATAGCATTAGAATATAAAAAATAATATAAAGTTACATACATAATATATACCACAGTATCTAAATTAACACGTTTTTTTTTATAACATATACAACACTTTATCATATAAGTAAAAGTTTTTGTAAAATAAAAACAAGTGTTTTCAACAAAGTAGCACAGGGACAAAAATATGGGTTTAATTCAAAATAACGTGAGTTCAACACAAAATAACATAAGTCTAGGAAACATCTGTTTCGTTTAAATAAAAAAATTCAAAACAGCAGAGGCTCAAATGAAAAAAAAACAAGTTTTGAATAAAGCATATTCAAATCAACTTAAAATATCTCATTACGTTTGATTTCATTTTATGTCAATTTTATAAGGAAATAAAATTATAAATGTAAATCATTGTTGTAATTAAATAATATTTGTAAAAATAATAATTCAAATCCAAATCTACTTATTTTGTTTCAATCTACCTTCTTGTGCATGATTTGTTCCCTTTTTTTTTTTTCTTGAAATTTCCTATTAAACCATTTTGATGTTGTGAAATTAAAAATGCTAATTCAATTCAACGATTTTGTGCCTAGTTGTAGTAGTTAATGCAATATTTGAAAGAAATTTATTAGTTATTTGTTGAAAGAATGAAGTTTTAATAATGTTTGAAGGTTTGGGAAATTAGAGAAAGAGAAAAGGTGGAGAATTAAAGGTGGAAAGAGAAATGAGTTTGAGATTCTATCACGTAGTATTTTCTTAGATTCTATTTTATTATATAATCTCACTTTCCTTTTTTTTTTTTTTTTTTTTTTTGTGGGGAAAATTTCACTTTCCTTTATTTTACGCAAATTGACATTTTAAAACCTTCTTTTTTACTTGTTTCTAACCCTTGATGCTTCAAATTAAAGTTTTCTTAAAATAAGTATCTATAGTAACTAAATAAAACCGAAAAAGAACCAAAAAAAAAAAAAACAAAAAAACTTTAATTTAGTATTTGTGATTAAAAAAACAAGAAAGGATACATGCTTTATTACCAAAGAAGGTTCAAAATATTAACCAGTTAGGTACTCCTAAGCCCTTAATATTCGGAGGAGCTTGTACCTCGTCTTGAACAACATTATGTACATTTCAGAGGTGCATGCCAAAGTCCTTTTAATAGGCATCCAACTAACTAATAGGAGCCCTATCTAACTGTCATACAGAGGCTATTCGATCGCGTTGCCAAACTACAGGGTCTACACTCTACAGGTATATACAGCCTTCATATGCAATCTGCAACAACATCCAAACAAGTTTCATGAGAAAAAAAAATATAGTTCAACTACTCTGATGTGCTCCTCTCCAATAATTAGCAAAATCTTCATGCAGAAGCCTAGCATCGACATCAACAACGAGAAAAGTAGCCGCAAGGGGACTGAGGGAAGCTGTTCATACATTCTATCACTGATGACAACTACTACACAAAAATTGATAAAAAATTAAAAAAATAAAAAATAAAAAATAAAAAAATCAGCAGCTTACAGCTAGAATCAAAGTTTTGATAACCAATTTGTTCGGTAGAGAGAGAAAAAAAAGGAGGAAAAAAAAATCAGAATCCTTTACTTGTTTCTTAGATGAATCAAACCTATCATTTCTTGTATATAAATCATACATTATCATTGTACACAGAGCTGAAATATTCTCTATTCTCTATTTTCGGTTTTGAATTAATGAACTACAGCAATATGGCTCCTTACTTCTTGATAATATACATAGAGATAACAGCATTTTGTATCAAGGATTTAAAGGAAACAACCTCACTACATCATCTGACTCTCTACCTCACCATAGACAAGGGTGAATCTACATACACCCGACTCTCTACCTCACCATAGACAAGGCAAAGTCTACATACATCTAACTCTCTACCTCACCATAGACAAGGGTGAATATACATACATCCGACTCTCTACCTTACCATATACAAGGGTGAATCTACATACATCCGACTCTCTACCTTACCATAGACAAGGGATCTTTTTAGGCATTTAGGCTTGTAATATTGATACAATTATATTGCAGATGATGCATAAATGTATGAGCAATGAGAATAAGAAAGTAAAATTTTAACTTAAGTTATGCATTACTACATTAACAATTTATATCATAATTACATTTGCGAGAACAAATAATCATTTTTGCTAAGTATATTGATTATTGAATAACAGGAGAAGAAATGACATACCATTCAACATCGTCCCAACAAAGGAAAACACCATGACCACTAGCATCAGTGAACGTGTAAACCGCCCCAGAGACTAGGTAAAGATTGTAGGCTTTATTTCAGTAATAGTTATTACAAAGAAGAGGTATGACTTGAATATCATAGCAACATATCTACTTGGGAAAATAAAATTCGAGCACAGTACTACAATACCTTCATAACCTCCAAATACTGGGTCCTCTGAAAGTAGGAGGGGAGTGTCTAGGTCAACAAACCTGTCAATTGATAGAGAGGATCAGCATTAATTTCTCAAAAACGAACAAAATGCGATAGATTTCAATGGAGAACAAAACTGATAACAATTCAATATTAATCTCAGAAGCTTTTCCGTTAAAATAAAGTCATATACTTGAAAGAACCCATCCCAGCAGCAAGATGTCCAGCGAAGCCCATGGCCAATCTAGTCTCAACCATACCGCCAATCATCAAATCTAAACTAGAATTCCCCACCAATTCAATTACTTCAAGAGCTCCAAGCACTCCTAATTTGGCAAGTTTAATGTTGATGACATCTGCCAAATTTTCTTCAATAAGTTTCTTAGCATCGGCTAGACTTCGACAGCTCTCATCTGCAGCAATTGAGACCCCATATTTTTCTCTAGCAATTTGGCTAACATAACCAAGACCCTCCCAATCATCTCTATGAACTGGTTGCTCAAAAAGAATAGGAGTGACCCCCATTCCTGCATGAAAATCACAATAGAATGTAAACGGACATTCGATCTAAGAACCTCAAACCACATATCTAACACAACAATTGACATCAAAACTGCAAGACAGGATAAGTTTCAGTCCCAAAATCAATCAGAAGCCAACAATACACAAGTCCTCCTTCAAAATTCACCATCAAAAGATAGAGATGATGATTTACCGTGCAGTTTGTCAAGAACTTCAACTGCTTCTTTCGGAGTGTAACCCTCATTTGCATCCAAGATAAAGAAGCAATCAGGGTAAACTTTTCTTATTGCTTTCAAAACTTCTATATCTGCATCCAGATTTTTTCCTATTTTAAGTTTTAATGTCTTAAACCCCTGCTTCCTGTATTGCAAAGCCAACTTGGATGCCTCGTCTGCTGAAACAATAGGAATCTGGAATATCATCAAACACTAAAGACCATTAGATCCTCTTGGAAATACAATGTTCCTATTCTTTTTCAGGCACGACAATATGATTCTCGGTAACTTGAAAGACATAAGAATATAAACAAGACTAAGGACAAATGAAACAACACAGAAACTGAACTGTTATGTCAGTGATTATGGTATTTGAAACTCCACCAAAGAGCCTCCACAATGGCATTCCAATGCTCTTGGCAACTGCATCAAGTAGTGCCATCTCAACCCCTGACCTAACCTAAAATTATACCAATAAAATAGTATTAAGTATTAAGGTTACATTAGATTTAAACTTCATGGCAAAATATAAACTATGTATAATGAAGGGAAAGAAGAAGCCTAATTAACATGTACAGCAGAAAATGGGCAGTTGAATAGAATCTTTGTTATGAAGCAGACAAAAAAGGTATAAAACGTAAATATAACTCATCAAAAGGATATCACTTCAAGATAGTCATAAGTTCATAACTAACATGGATGAATAGTTCGATAGAAAACACCATGACTACAACATTCCAAATACTAGTAGCTTATTAGATGCTACATTGTATATCAAAGAATTACAAAGTACTCTATCTGTCTAGAATTAGGCCCTGTTTTGTTTAGACTTCTCTGCAGAACTTTTCAATTCAGGTCAGATCGTTTTAGTTTACTTTAGATTGTTTCAGTTTAATTCAATTTGGGTTGTTTCAGTTCAGTTCACTTGTCATGGTCTTATCATTTATCAACCCGACCTTTGGTAATTAAAATGACGTGATTTCACATTAAACAAATCTTACAAATAATCTTGGTAAGTGACAAGTTTTTTCATTATTAATGCAGCAAGCCAGCAACCCTTGTATTATAATTTTGAGATATACTTGTAACAAATAACCTTGTTAAGTGACAAGTTTATATTGAAGACCAGTGACTATGTACAAAGTAAAAACATCCATATAGCTCAATGCCTTTAAGGTGTCGTGTCACTACAATCTGAATAATGTAGCATCTACTGATCTACATGCATGCCTCCTTTGTCCTTCACTTTCTAAGTTTAAAACAGAGCTTATTTAAATCCTCTCTACACATACGGTACTAGCATTTAAAATGAACGTAAGCCGCGGTGATTATTGAATTTGTTAAGCGAAATTCCTTACCTATGTTTTTTTTTTTTTTAATTATTCAATCAATTTTAATTGCAAACTGCAAAATAATTTTAATTTTCTATATTTTTATGATATTTTCTTGTATGTTATTGAGTTTCTGAATTTGTTATGATATTTTTTAAATGGACAAAATAGTGAGTATTAACCATGTGACTTCATCTACTCCTTACCATGTACCAATTACACCAACAGAGGGAGTATAATGATTATAATTACTTTAATTTTTTTTTTCTTTCTTCTTTTTGGTGTTTAGAGAACCATAAGAACAGGTGATGAAAATTGATCCCAAGATCTCTTGAAACCGTAAGGGGAGCCCTAACCACTTGAGTTATCCCTCACTCTCTAATTTATTCGGTTAATGAAACACTAATATTTGATTAATCCTTGGCAACAAAGAGCAAACAAAATAAATTGACTTACAGAAGCAAAATCATGACCAGGAAGAATCCCATAAATCTGTTTCAAAGCCAAACTCAAAATCACAGGGGAACTTTCCTTAAGAAACAAGCAAGCCTCGGCCGCCTTAGCAAGCGCTAAAGGCTGATCTTCGGCCGTCACAGAAGGAAGAATTGGTGCTTCACCCCACCCAACACACCCATTACTCAACTCAATACGAATTCCAACATTTTCAACTTTATCTAAACTTGAATTTGCAATTGTAAATGGAGCTTTTAAGGGTACATTTAATGGTCTTCCCTCTGCTTTCTTCACATCCAATTCTATATTTGTGTTCATCAAATTTAGGGACCTGAAACTAGAGAGAATTAGAGGATCCATTGAAATTGTTGAGTTTTAGCAATAAAGAATAATTTTGGACTTTTTGGAGAGGGTTTTTGTGGGAAATTGCAAATTGGAAATTGAGGGGTTACTCAATTTGGGTTAATAATGTAAAAGAGTAAGCATGATGCTAAATCATAAGTCATACGTACCAATCTCTATTTTAACACATTCTTTTTTTTTAATACATCCAGGTAGGGTATCAATTCGGTTAAATAGATGGAATTTAAGTTGACTTACGACGAGTTGGGTATGTTGGGGTTAAGGTTGTCCGTTTAACCTGTCTTGGTTTGGGTCAGGTCAATTTCAAGTCAAGACTTATCGCGGTAGGATCAGGTTAACTTAAGATCAGTTCATATTCAGTTTGGATAATTTTTTTTATTGGGTAAACAATAGGTTTGATGGAGTTAATTACAAGTCAAATGACTTTGTGTCGAGTTGATTCTGGTTCGATTAATTTCGATTTAGATTAACATAAGGTTGATTCAGTTTTGGGTCAATTCCAATTCATATGCTTTTTGAGTTTGGCTAAATTTGGGTCAGGTTGACCAAATTCAATATTTAAATAAGGTCATTTTTATAGTAGAGTAATTATGTAGTTATTACCTTATTATTAGGTCAATTCAGATTACTCATGTCATTTTTCATACCGTGTCATTAACATTAAGAGAATATTAGTTCATTTTCCCATTAGATCAGTTCTTGTGTCAATTTACCTTTATGTCAAATTAAAATTGAATGATGACTAATCATACCTACATAAGTAAAAAGATAAGTGATGAACTAATGACAAAATGATTGATGATAGCCACATATTGATTAAATTGAAGTTGAGTATAGTATAACCATCTTATTGATTAAATTGAATAAAATAAAATAAATAAATAAATATTGTATAGGGGTGGGACTTTTCAAACCGAACCGTGAAACCGTCCGTTACCGAACCGAACCATCACAGACCGAACCGTTTATAACCCGCTAATTTTAAACCGAAAACCGAACTGAACCGTATAATGTCAAACCGAAACCGAACCGAACCAATTAATGTTAACCCGTTACGAACCGTAAACCAATAACAAACCAAACCGTTTATAAACCAAAACCGTTTGAACCGATTAATGTTAACCCGCTAACTGTTTAAACCGAACCGTTTATAAACCGTAGGAAAAAACCGTTTAAATCGAACCATTTACAACCCGCTAACCGTTTAAACCGAACTGTTATAACCCATTAAACCGTTTAAACCGAACTATTTTCAAACCGCAACCCGTTTAAACCGATCCGATTACAAACTATTTAAACCGAACCGTTTACAACCCGTTCCATTCAAATTGAACTATTTACAGCCTTTAACAATTTGTTAGAATTCCACGAAATATATTTGATGTTTAATGTAATTTAACAGTACAATTTTTTTTACATACAATTATTGATTTAAATTTGTAAATTTTTTTGCTATTATAAAATTAAAATTATATTCTTGTATAACTAAATTAGGAGTTATAAATTAAATAAAAAAATGAAAAAATTTGGCCACCCACCCTCCACCCACCCACCACCGTAACCCACCCTAACACCACCCCCGCCGTCACCCCAGACCCACCCTAACACTTCCCCCCACCCACCACCGTTACCGTAACCCACCCCCACCCCACCAACGTCAACCCAGACCCACCCTAACACCACCCCCGCACCCACCATAATTACCGTAACCCACCCCACCCCACCCCACCACCCACCGTAAATAAAAAAACCCAGACCCAAACCTTACCCCACCCCATCCACCACCGTCACCGTAAATAATAAAAACCCAGACCCATACCCCACCCACCTACCACCATCACCGTAATGTACCCCACCCCCCCCCCTTAACAAACCCACCCCACCCAACCCACCACCGTCACTGTAAAAAAAATAAATAATAAAAAAAAAAACCAGACCCAACCCCAACCACACCCACCATCGTCACCGTAACACACCCACCCCACCTTATACAAAAAAATCGAAAAAAAAACCAAACCCACCGTAACCCACCCCACCCACCCCCACGAAACCCAACATCCTCGAAACCCCCAACTCACTCTAATTGCTCACCCACCATAAAACTCCCTCCCTCCCTCGAAAAATCCTCCCTCCCCACCCACCCGAACCCAGTCTAACCGCCGCCGCACCCACCCTAACTCGGCCCCCTCCGTTGCCCACAACTTGAAAAAAAATTAAAAAGAAAAACAGAAAATAAAAAAAGGAAGAACGAAAACACCTTATATATTAATCCTGAATTTGGCCTCGAATTTGGTTTTAAAAGGCCAAATTCGATCATGAAACAACTAGATCTAGAGTTTCGTGGTCGAATTTGACCATAAAAACCGTCGTGCGTGGTGTCGGTGGACGGAGACGGAGAAACGAGATGGAAGAAAGGAGAACAGAGACGAAAGAAGGGAGAAGAAGGAAGAAGAAGAAAGGAAGATGGAAGAGGAGATGAGAGAGAAAACGAGAGAGCAGTGAGCATATTAGCAGCCATGGCTTCAAAAAATTGATAATATTACAGAAGAGGATTAAGAAAACGAGAGAGAAATCAAAAAGAGTACTAAAGAGACGATGGTAAGAGTGATCTGATTGGTGGAAAAGAAAACACACAGATCGTGAATTGGAATGTGTGCGATGATAGGCCGTTAGATGACATGCAAATCAATGGCTGATATTTAATCTAAGACGGTGACACGGATCATGGGATAATGGATTTGGATAGTATGTTTTTTTTTTTATTCATAGCTACGTACTAATAAAAACACTACTGTACTCTTAACTTTATGTAACTTATAAATTGTAAGAAACACAAATGTTTGGAAATTGGAATTGATTCAATATGACATATTTAATGTATATTAGTTATATGTATATCAGTATATGTAATAAATAATAATGTATGGTACGATTGGTATCATACTATCATTGCTATGTATAGATAATCGATAAATGTATCTGATTATTAAAACTTAAAACAGTTGATGATCGATCTAATTGAATACTTCTACTTCCCCACTCGTTTTCTTTAACTTGCAAGTTGCAACATATATATGTTGCAGCCTTGTAGGCACGTAATCTTAAAAGGTGATTAGAGAGAGTAAGACAACAAAGTAATTCAGCAATATAACTTTAACACCAAAATTATGGAATAGTTACAAACAATTGTCAATTATTACTTTATTAGACTAATGGGAAATTGAATAATCGTGATTTTAATTAAACATCCAAATATAGTTCTGTAACATTAAATTATTAGTTTATTATAATATCAATTATCGATTTATCGTATTCAAAGTACCAATTCATCAAATCATGGTTATGACGCGATCTTTAAAACAATTAAAACAAGAAGCTGATAGCCTGATAATATTTGATAATGAAACAATAATAAATTAATACCTTATAAATTTGTAATAGACTAATATTTAATAAACAACAACAAGACTATAACCAAATTTGAAACATAACACATTAACATGATATAGAATGAATGAGAATTTCTGTAATTCTATATAATCTGATATCTGAATCGATTTATCGTATTCAAAGTAGCAACTCATCAAAACATGGTCATGACACGATATCTAAAACAATCCAACAAGAAGCTGATAACCTAATAATATATATTTAATAATGAAACAATAATACATTAATACATTATAAATCTGTAATAGACTAATATGATAATATCGAATAAACAACAACAAGAGTATAACCAAACTTGAAACATAACATATTAACATGATATAGAATAATTGAATAAATGAAGATTTGTGTAATTGTATATAATCCGATGTCTGAAAATAAAGTGACGAACTCCCAACTTTATATAAAACGAAAATAGCTAACCGGTCAAAAATCTCTTAAAACCCAATTTCTACTCGATCCATTATTTTTTTCACCAACCTATGCCGACCCGCTAATGAAATGGAAATACTAGTCCCAACTTGATATAAAACAAAACGCGCTAACTGGTCAAAACCACTTTTTAGAACTCAATTTCAACCCGATCCAATTTAACCGATTACCAAACTAACCCGAACGATTTTAGCACCAAACCGAGTATAAACCGAACCGATATGAATCGAACTAGCACTAACCCGGGTAAACCCGCCCCTGAACCGACCCATTTCAAAATAATCCGTTCATGACCCGAACCGATATGAACCCGGACCGACGTTGACCCGGTAAAACCGCCCCTGAACCGATCCGTTTCAAACCGGTCAGATCATGACCCGAACCGTTTATAAACCGAACGGGCATTGACCCGGGTAAACCCGCCCCTGAACCGTCCTGTTTCAAACCGACCCGATTATTAACCGAACCGTTTAAAAACCGAACCGGCATTGACCCGAGTAAATCCGCCCCTGAAGCGACCCGTTTCTAACCGATCTGATTATGACCCGAACTGTTTATAAACCGAACCGTTTATGACCCGAACCAAATTTAAATCGTACAAAAATAAACCGAAACCGAACCGACCTGTGACTAATCAAAACCGAACTGAACCGACCCGCCGTCTAAATGAAATCGTTTTAACCCGAACCATTTCAAACCGAAACCGTTTCAAACTGAGGTCAAACCGAACTGCCAGACTGAAGTCCCACCCCTAATATTGTACTACATCACAAATTAAAAATTGTTATGTTCACGGCTCACCCTTCCAAAACAAAGTTATTAACAGTGGCTGAAATTAATTGGATGAATTGAAATTAGTTATTAACAAAGTTATTAGCCCAACGATTAAGCAACATCTTTAAGGTCACAACTTAAAGATCTTGCATGAGTCGTCTCATACCATCTCTTAGGGGGCTAGTTGTATGGGATAGCTCCCACTAAGCTATCCCTAGCTCCCAGCTCGCCTAGGGAATGACGCATAATCAACAGTAGTACAACCAGATCAACCTAGTTTGTACACCTATTAATAGCACGTAAGTACACCGAAAAAAAAGGATTAGTTGCATTCTACTTATTCTGATCCATACTTTCCTTCACTAAAGAGACTTTCTGTCACAAAGATAAATACTTACTTGACCGTCGGAGAAGGGTTCCTCGAGCCACCCCTGAGGGTACACATGCACTACTATACTAGTATTTCAGCGGCCTAAGTAAAAATTATACCTATGAAGCGTGCTTGTAAAGTAGAACGGAGCCATATAAAAGAACCACAAGTGCAATCCCTTTATTAAAAGTCCACCCATACGCGATCAAACCCACTTTAACTGTATTAACTTTGAATACGGGACAAACTTTCAAGGTTTTAATGTTTAGATCTAGGTTCTTACTTTAGAGTAGACTTGAATAATTTTTCAATTAATCATATAATCATCTAATAACTCCTGGGGTATTTACATTAAATAAATAATAACCTCCTTAAAGTGTAAACCCAATAATAATATGATTAGTTAATTAATTAATTACTAAATTTACAATTTAA